CTATGACATCTTACCTCTACAGACGTACCAAAAGTTTCTTCTTAAATCTAATAGCTTTGAGGCTATAAGTTATTTACTTTTGTGTGTTTTTGTCAGGCAGAAATTTATTTATACCCCCTTAGGGTGTAAGAGGATAATCATTCTTGTTCTGGCCTATTTCATAGGTATTTTTAGTTATGCTGTTAAAGCAATTGATCAATAGCAATGTCTGACTTTCATTTATTAATTTTTAAAGAATTCTGATTTCATATTAATTTAGTCAAATTTAAGTTATTTTTGTGACCATTAGAGGATTTTGTTATCATTAAATAAGGCGTAAAAACAATTTTTCCATGTGTGTATATACTATATACAGTTATATAAAAAGCACCTCCACTGGCTTTGCACCAGCAGGGCAGGGATCTTAGTCTGTGTTTCAAATTAGGGTTCACAGTATTTTACAGTGCATGCCACACAATTACTAAGCAAAATTAGTTCTCTATGCCTATAACACAATATCTGATTCTTTTTAAAACAGCACGAAAACATAAAAATGTAAAGTGGTGTTTGAGTGGTAGAGTCATAAGAAGCTATAGTAACTGTAAATGCAATTTCAGCAAACATCGGCCAGAAGCAACTTTTCCAATACAATGTTGTGATGGAAACAATAAATTATTTTTCCTATATATGGTTAGAAAACACATTATCTGAGTCTTTTCATATGTAACATCCATCCATTCTGTCATGCATCCAAGGTTATGGCTATGGTCATTTCTGATCACCAAGTCTATATGTTCTTTAAACCCCTCAGAGGTTTGTTAAAGGACATTTGGAAGGAAACAGCAGCATGAAGACTAGCAAATGCAGCAGACAGGTCAGAAATAAAGCTGTGAGGAAGTTTAAAGCAGGGGTGGGTTATGATAAGTATTGAAAACTTTTCAAATTCAAGAGGACATGTCAATTTCAAGACATGACCTAAATTCACTGGCTAAGAAAGGCTTAATCACAAAGGCAATGGAGTTGGTCTGGTCAAATAGGAAAAAAAAAACCTGAAGTTTCTGACTTACAGAAACAGCACACTGAACAGAGAATGGTGGAGACAGCATGATGCTTGGAGGTTTAGTTTTTTTCAATAGAGATGGGGAAGCAGGTAAAATAAACAGAGTAATCAGAAAAAAACATAAGGTCAAGGCTTAAAAGCTGCTGTTTATAGACACTCTCAGTCCAGCCTATAATATCCTGATCTTTATATGACAAAAGAACATTGGATGAAAAAAATGCCATGCTTTTCTGGTTTTTCTTTTTTCAACAAGACATTGAAAAAAACAGGTAAAATTTGTTAAAACACACATAGGTTTGTAGTTGAAATTATACAGTGTACAATTCAGAGAAGTTCAAAGCACCCCTACACTGTTACACACATATTTTGGTGTTTGGCATCAGGTAAAAAGGATCTGTGTAAATTTTAGCCTCAGCTTTACAAAACAATGGCTACAAATGAGGGTGATCCCTGATAGTGCTAATAAAAAAAAAAAGAGTGAGATATATGTAAACCATAATGCCTGTGATGTGGTTTATAATGGATGTAATTATGTGGACTTAATGTATGGCTTACTGAGTGAATGTAGCTAAAGATGATTTAAAACATGGGTTAAAAAAAACGTAATCAAATTGAATTTAGAGGTCAACTAAGATTAACGTCTCTAATCAAAGCAAACAACAACAAAAAAACAGCACAGGACAATCAAGGCAGAGAAACTGAAGATGACAGAGGACGGAGCCGGAGCAATCAGGTTGTTTACAGGAAAGACTAATGAAAAACCTTATCAGACCAAGCATGCCGCCACACACACTTTAACACACAAAAATGCAAAGTTTCCGCATTACGGACAAAAACACACACTCACTTAATGGACAACAGGAACAGAAAGGCAAACCATGCTCGTTAACATGATGCATTACCATCATCAATCACGCCTCTAAGTAAAAGTCGTCTGCGTCTACATTTCTGTGTGTGTTTGTTAGTGTCATATTAAATCGGATGCAGCCTCCTGTGAGCGTGCCATGTGTCGCGCAGAGTGACTCATCCTCCTCCCCATCCCTCCGCACGCATCCACCAGCATCCCTGGTGGGTGCGTGCACGTATTCCTGAGCGAGTGTGTTTGTATGTGCCATGCAGATGTGTAACTACCCCTGGCGTGCGTCCTCCCACCCATCATTCAGCCCCATTCACACATGGTCAACACCACGGGGGTAATGAAAGAGAGCGTGGTGGAGGAAGGATGACAGAGAGATGAAGAGACTGAGAGAGAGGAAAGGGTGGCTGAAAGGGGTTTGATGGTAAAATGGCACAGGGGATTCACAGAGAAAAGAGGGAATAGAGGTTGGCAATGAACAAATGAATGACTAAACCTAATGGCTTTTTTGCACTTGAAGAGGCTCTCCCCAGTACCCGCACTGAGAAAATTATTCACAAATTGATTCATCCAGCTCATGCACTTAAGGATGGAAAATAGCCTCTGAGTCTTTACAAACTCCATTTAAAGAGTAATAACTTTTACAGGAATCAAGGTCTGTTTGGCTACACTTAAATAGAAACGCCATTAAATCTAGCATCTGAATACAACCAAAGCGGGTGGTACTGCTCATAATTCAGCGCGCTTTCATCTTTCCATCAATGTTTTTTCCTCTTCTTCTGTCGAAAGCGCAGCAGCCCAGGATCTCAGAGGAACACTTAAAATGATATTCATATCTGGAGACCGAAAGTCTTGCTGTATACTTGCGCTCAAAATGAAGTGGTTACCATGGTTACATATACTTAACGCTAATTCTTCTACCCCCTGCTCCCCCCCCCACCTCCCTCTTTGCCTGCTGCTCCTCATGATGGTGATCCAGTACGAAATGATTTTCACTTTATTTTTGTTTTAACCATAAGCAAACGACAACAAATAAACAATGCATTGGAGTCAAACTCATTAGAGAAGAATTATCTTTAGAATGATAAAGAGTTATCTAATTAAAAAAGGGGGGAGTTGCTTTCCTGGGACACACCCATGAGTTTAGATGCTTTAAGTTACTTT